CGAGGTATCCACCAACAAGTCTACAATTGTGTGTGGACGAGGCATTCATCCGCCAACAATTCTACAAATGTGTGTGGACGAGGTATCATCAAACAACAAGTCTACAATTGTGTGTGGACGAGGCATTCATCCATCAAAAAGTCTACAATTGTGTGTGGAAGTGGTATCCACCAACAAGTCTACAATTTTGTGTGGACGAGGCATTCATCCAACAACAAGTCTACAATTGTGTGTGGACGATGCATTCATCAAACAACAAGTCTACAATTGTGTGTGGACGAGGCATTCATCCATCAAAAAGTCTACAATTGTGTGTGGACGAGGTATCCACCAACAAGTCTACAATTGTGCGTAGAGGACGTATCCAGCAACAAGTTTACAATTGTGTGTGTACGAGGTATCCACCAACAAGTCTACAATTGTGTGTGGGCGACGTATTGATCCAAAGAGAAGTCTACAATTGTGTGTGGAACAGGTGTCCACAATCAAGTCTACAATTGTGTTGACGAGGTATTCATCCACCAGCAAGTCTACAATTGGTGCGTGGACGAGGTGTTCAAAATCAAGTCTACAATTGTGTGTGGACGAGGTATTCATCCACCAACAAGTCTACAATTGTGTGTGGGAGAGGTATTCCTCCAAGGAGAAGTCTACAATTGTGTGAAGACGAGGTATCCACCAACGAGTCTACAATTGTGTGTGGGCGAGGTATTGATCCAAGGAGAAGTCTACAATTGTGTGTGGAACAGGTGTCCACAATCAAGTCTACAATTGTGTGGACGAGGCATTCATCCACCAACAAGTCTACAATTGTGTGGAAGAGGTGTCAACAATCAAGTCTACAATTGTGTGTGGACGAGGTATTCATCCACCACCAAGTCTACAATTGTGTGTGGACGAGGTATCCACCAACAAGTCTACAATTGTGTGAGGACGAGGCATCCACCAGCAAGTCTACAATTGTGTGTGGACTAGGCATCCACCAACAAGTCTACAATTGTGTGTGGACTAGTATTCATCCACCAACAAGTCTACAATTGTGTGTGGACAAGTCTACAATTGTACAATTGTGGACGAGGTATTCATCCACCAACAAGTCTACAATTGTGTGTGGACGAGGTATCCACCAACAAGTCTACAATTGTGTGTGGACGAGGCATCCACCAGCAAGTCTACAATTGTGTGTGGACTAGGCATCCACCAACAAGTCTACAATTGTGTGTGGACGAGGCATCCACCAACAAGTCTACAATTGTGTGTGGACGAGGTATCCACCAACAAGTCTACAATTGTGTGGACGAGGCATTCATCCACCAACAAGTCTACAATTGTGTGTGGACGAGGCATCCATCAACAACAAGTCTACAATTGTGTGTGGACGAGGCATTCATCCACCAACAAGTCTACAATTGTGTGTGGACGAGGTATCCACCAACAAGTCTACAATTGTGTGTGGACGAGGCATTCATCCGCCAACAAGGTAATCATCCATCAACTAGTCTACAATTGTGTGTGGACGAGGTATTCATCCACCAACAAGTCTACAATTTTGTGTGGACGAGGCATTCATCCATCGGGGGATCAAGTCTACAATTGTTGTGTGGAAGAGGTATTCATCAACCAACAAGTCTACAATTGTGTGTGGACGAGGTATTCATCCAACAACAAGTCTACAATTGTGTGTGAACGAGGTATTCATCCAACAACAAGTCTACAATTGTGTGTGGACGAGGTATTCATCCACCAACAAGTCTACAATTGTGTGTGGACGAGGTATTCATCCACCAACAAGTCTACAATTGTGTGTGGACGAGGTATTCATCCACCAACAAGTCTACAATTGTGTGTGGACGAGGTATTGATCCAAGGAGAAGTCTACAATTGTGTGTGGAACAGGTGTCCACAATCAAGTCTACAATTGTGTGACGAGGTATTCATCCACCAACAAGTCTACAATTATTGTGTGGACGAGGTATCCACCAACAAGTCTACAATTGTGTGTGGACGAGGTATTCATCCACCAACAAGTCTACAATTGTGTGTTGACGAGGTATTCATCCACCAACAAGTCTAGAATTGTGTTGTGGACGAGGTGTCCACCAACAAGTCTACAATTGTGTGTGGACGAGGTAAGGATCCACCAACAAGTCTACAATTGTGTGTGGACGAGGTATCCACCAACAAGTCTACAATTGTGTGTGGACGAGGTTCATCCAACCAACAAGTCTACAATTGTGTGTGGAAGAGGTCATCCACCAACAAGTCTACAATTGTGTGTGGACGAGGTATCCACCAACAAGTCTACAATTGTGTGGACGAGGTATCCACCAACAAGTCTACAATTGTGTGTGGAAGAGGTATCCACCAACAAGTCTACAATTGTGTGTGGACGAGGCATTCATCCACCAACAAGTCTACAATTGTGTGTGGACGAGGTATCCACCAACAAGTCTACAATTGTGTGTGGACGAGGTATTCACCCACCAACAAGTCTACAATTGTGTGTGGACGAGGTATTCATCCACCAACAAGTCTACAATTGTGTGTGGACGAGGCATCCACCAACAAGTCTACAATTGTGTGTGGACGAGGTATCCACCAACAAGTCTACAATTGTGTGTGGACGAGGTATCCACCAACAAGTCTACAATTGTGTGTGGATCGAGGCATTCATCCACCAACAAGTCTACAATTGTGTGTGGACGAGGTATCCACCAACAAGTCTACAATTGTGTGGACGAGGCATTCATCCACCAACAAGTCTACAATTGTGTGTGGAAGAGGTATCCACCAACAAGTCTACAATTGTGTGTGGACGAGGCATTCATCCAACAACAAGTCTACAATTGTGTGTGGACGAGGCATTCCAACAACAAGTCTATAATTGTATGTGGATCCATCCACAACAAGTCTACAATTGTGTGTGGACGAGGCATTCATCCACCAACAAG